CGGGCAAAGAGAAGTTTGCGGTTGGTCAAACGAAGTTCGAAACCTCTACGGTGTTTGACTGCCGTTTTTACTTCTACGGACGATAATACTGAGTACTTAATACGTACTCCGACGTTCTACATGCATAGAGCACTAACACCGAGAAGTTCCACGAAACGAGCGGGACATTCATAGGATCGGCCTCACAGATCACTCGGAAAACTATTGACACACAAGTGATGGAGTGCTGGACAGACAAAAGACTGCGAAGTAGAAACCGGCCTTATGGGGTAGACAATAGATGCATGTATAGCCTGGAAATTTCAGATCACGGGTCAACCATTCTACTTAACAATTGTCTGAGTTCGAGATAGCTCAGTGGTTAGGTCGCGAAATTACTGGCTGGTAGGTCCGTGATTCGAACCCAGACCCATGCAACTTGAATGCTGCTTCCAAGATGGGGTAACCTGGCAGTTTCTAGCCCTCATGCTTCAGTAGAGTGGCATAGCAGCTAGGCACCTGAAAGGTACTGAAGCTGGAGGATTAATCATCGTTTTTCATTAGGACGTTGTTCGGCTCTAAATACCGGTTTTCTTTGGTGGGTCACCGATTATACTTCGCGATAATTAACTAGAATATGCGCTGAGACCGACCAGGCCTACAGCACCACTGCCAATCTGCCGTAAAACGCAACTAACTTATCGAATCGCCCATCACTGCGGCAACTAAGGTACAGTTGCTCGTGGCCGAACGGTTAAGCGACGACTTATCAGATGGAAGTTTCACTCATCTTGTGAACCACTTATTGACTGACAGTAGTGAAACTCCGTAATTTTTAGTGGAAATTTCGTCCTAAATGGGAACAGGTGATATTGCTGTTCAGTCGATCGTGGTCTAGCGGTTTATTGTTCAACCATTAGTCGGAAGCTAGCGAATCTGTGCTTTTTCCGCAATTCTTCGTGATCAACAGATACAGCAGTATCTGGATGGAAATAAACACTAAATACGCATTAAGCTGGGTGAAATATAATATGTGATTGAACCCACAACGGACCACATGTAACGGCCACTCAGCCTCAGGATCAACCAAATTTTCGTGTATTATTTCGCTGAAGAGTTCTTAATTTGGGGATCTAAAACTCATATCCACAGCATTATTACAGATTCAGGGTTGGAACAACGTTCCAGTCCTTTACCCACCTGTAGTAAGTTGGACAGTTTGACGGCAATTCAAAGGAATGTTGTAATCGTGTGCCACTTTTGTTAGGATTATTCGACAGGTCAAAATTACATGTGTTCGCTTGTGTCAGAGAAGTTCTGTGAGCCTTATATTCTATAACCCGCTGCTCCTTAGATCCTTGGGTTATCCGACAAATTTGCGAGGAAACCACCGAATCTAACAAACATACAGTGATACACAAACGACTGGGTCTAATGGCCCAAAAGAAAACCAGCAACTGGATGGACCGCGAACCAACCCCCACTCAACACACACGCACACATTATCGAATCCACGAAGGAACGAGTCCGAACAAATTAAAAATTCGCTTTACTCTGACTGACCGTAACAATCCCCGAGCAGACTGGAGGCCTTATGAAAGCGTGTGAATCACCATGTCGTACTCAAACGATAAGGAAGCAGTTTCACTCTCCGTCAAGTGAGTGCGGCATCAGTGGATTAGGTAGATGGAGGATCACACCTTGGTGTACGTTTCCGCAGAACAATTAATGTCCCACTACCTTGCTAAAACTTGTTTGAGCGTTCGGAAACTGAAAAATCATCACCATCATCATCAGTGACACCAGCACTAGATGAGGACACTTGTGCCTCCATGCCGTGGGATATTAAAGCTAGCATCAATGGATGGCAAGCAGGTGTCAGTTCTCAACGATAGGCCGACGGAGATGCCGCTGGGAACCAGGTGAAGAGGATCAGCAGTAGCACGTTCCCGCTTACCCGCCCTGCTGTGCGCTGCAACTAGGACGACCCATGATGGCACCTCGCGATGGTCACTGTGACGAGACTATTTCTCAGCGTAGAATTCATAAGTAGGGTCCTCAGTGAAAGCCTTTAGCTAAAAACCTTACAGCAAGGTTGTAGGGGTTAACAGGAAATACAAGCGCACTACCATTTTTAAAGAAAAAGTCACCATGCATGTTCCAACCCCCAACTTGGAGGGCCAGGGAACTGTGTTCGTCAGACCCCTAACCATGGACAAACCTGGTATGACACTGCACTCCCCAGTGCAGTTCAGTGAGTTATGGAGGTACATAACCGGTTGCACCAAGGTGAAATCCGGTCTCTTCGTGACTAATAACCATGAATCAGATGCGTGCAAGCTATTCATGAGTACACAGGCGTGCACTGATACACTGAAATGGCACGGAAGGTAAGTTCGCTCACGTAGAAACTCCAGTAATAAGTGAATACCAAGAAGCGACCATTTGCCTCAGCACATCCCAAAATGTCACCACCGTGGCTCGCAATTCGATCAATTTGTTGATTGATCAAATAAAAACTATATATCATGAATACGTTGGCTCCAGCCACGACAGTTTAGACTACCGGAAAACGGGGGCGTGAGGGACAGTCAAACATTGGATGCAATGGTATGGCACTGGTGAGTTCAGGTTCGGAGTCCCAATCTAGGGAGGCGGCAGGTGTCGATCCGACAAAGTTTACTGATTAATGTTTTAATACTTCACTGTCAAGTCATAAGATGTCCGCCTGTCGGTCGCTTCCACTCGGCACAGGGCTGGGCGAGAATAGCTCTGCAAGACAGACGGTCTTCTGGTGTCTTCTGTGTCCTGAACAGCGTAACCTACGCAGCGTGAGTAATTCGTCTATCGCGGGAGTTCCTCCTTCCTAGAACCATCTGGTATACTTCAGCATTGCTAATCCGATATTCCCACCAAACCTGACCAACGCTTCGTGGTGCAAATTCGTTATGTTTTTCAAACGTTTCATCATTCATTGCTAAATCACTTTCTTCCGTCTTCAGCTCTCAGTGTCAAAGTTTTGGATGAATAAAGCCTAGTTTTCGGGCCCCCAGTCTTTTCTATTGTCATTCTGATTGTCGTTGCACTCCGTTCCTCGTCGTACACAATTTATTCATCCAAAGTTTTTTTCGAACAATGGATCGATCAATACGTCCTGAACTATTCGATACCGACTCCAATATTCAAGACTCGGTAGATACCTGGGAGCATTGGCTTTGTACTTCCCCAAACTTCCTAGATTCAATTGGTTCTCATTCACCAGATAAACTGAAAACCTTGCTCAATTACGTCTCCCCTAGTGTTTGACGATTCATCAAAGACTGTGACTATGAACCAGCCACCGAGAAATTTACATACAGCCGAAAAATGGAGTTTTTGCCCGGCATCTTTTGAACACCTGTAAGCAAGACGGAGCTCAGAACCTTGATCAGTTAGCGCAGAAGCTTCGCAGTTTGTTGCCAGACTGCCGCTTTACGGCCGTTAGTGCAGAACAACGTACCGATAAAGCGTTCCGAGACGCATTCATTGGTGGACTTTATTCGAATACTATACGCTTTACTGCTGGAAATTAAGTCGCTGGATTTTGAAACCGCATACGACCATGCAATCCCTCGAAATAGCGCAAAAACAGCCGTTGTCGTTTTTGCCGAACAATCAACTCCCTGTGTTATCGTATCGAACGACCCGCCAGTCTCCACGTACTCAAAAGTCATCGCATGGACAGATGACTGCTCGTGTGGGGTCTCATGTTTCTTCTGTGGCTATGCCCGTCACCCGAGATACAAACGCCCCGTTAAAAATGCGACCTGAAAAAGCTGTGCGAAGAAAGGGTATTTTTAGAACGTATGCAGATCTGCTGGCCCGCGGAACACCTCATCTTGCGCGACTGTAGCGACTCCCGAGTGTCTAAGAGAAGCAGTCACAGATGTGACAGCCAATGGTGTCCCGCTTCGAGCTATTGTTGATACTGGCAACCCAGAAAGTTTCATTCCCGAAAACGTAGTCCGTCATAACAAACGGTCTGTACTACCACCCTCAGCTGAGATACATTTGGCATCAATCCAGTACAAAAGCTTTACTCTTGGACGTTGTTTTTTAACTTTGCAACACAAACAAAACAGGTATTGCGTGACCTGAGTGCAGATATCCTGCTATGACATGACTTTCTTAAGCTTCACAAATCCCTGGAAATCTCATTCAATGGTGACGAAACTTCTTTTTCCCTCTGTGGTCTAATTGCTGCCAAAATTGAACCTCCCAATTTGCTTGAGCATATTGATCTCCATCAAGCCAAGTCGACATTCTGCAGACAACCAGGCCTTCATTTCTTCTGAAGTAACGCGGTTGCTTGGACAACAAATCATAGAACCTTCCAAGTCCCCATGGAGAGTGCAAGTGCTCGTCACGACAAATGAACGACAGAAGCGAATGGTGGTTGGCTATAGTGAAACTATAGACCGATTTACGCAACTGGACGCTCATCCACTCCCCAGACTTGAAGATTTGCGTAGTAAAATAGCTCAGTATCTTATTTTCAGCACGCTTGATCCTGAGAGTGCGTATTATTAAATACCCATTAAAGAAAGCGACAGAACCCACACGGCTTTTGAGGCTTGCAATCTTTTTTTAGTTCCGTCAAATACCCTTCGGAGTAATGAATGGGGTGGCCTGTTTTCAAAGGGTAATGAATGACATGATACGCGCCGAACAACTTACCGGGACATATGCGTATGTGGATGTTACCAGTTGTAGAATCAAGAAAACGATCAAAACCTCTTACCTTAGCGCAAAAGTACAGCCTTAAGTTAAATCACGACAAAAGCACAAGCTCCACCACTAAGCTCAGACTCCTCGGCTATGAAATTACTGAAGGTATCATCAAACCAGACCCTGAACGCTTCAAGGTCTTGCATGAGCTGTCTGTTCCGAAGGATATCAAGTCTCAACGAGTGGTGTGCTGGTTCGCGTACTATTCCCGTTGGATAAGCCGTTTCTCTGATAACATCTACCCAATCACTCACAATACAGCCTTTCCTGTCCCTGAATCTGCTATGAAAGCGTTTGAAAGTTTGAAAAAGGAGTTGATGGATGCAATCTTGGTCACTATCGACCCGAGAATACCTTTGGTGCTCGAAACTGATGCATCTGATATCGCGATCTCCGCTACACTCAATCGAGATGGTAGACCGGTCGCATCCTTCTCACGTACATTGTTTGCCAGCAAAAACGTCATCCAGCTATTGAGAAAAGAGCGTGCGCAATTGTCGAAGCAGTGAGCAAACGGAGGCATTACCTCCTCGAGATTCATTTCAAAATTAAACCGATCGGCGGTCCGTTGCATTCATGTATTCAACACAACAAAAAGGGGAAGTAAAAAATGACAAAATCCAACGATGGTGGACGGAGTTATCACCTTTTTCTTTTGACGTTACCTACAGACCAAGCATAGAAAACAAAGCTGCTGGCACGCTTTCTCGGGGCGTCTGTGGGAACACTTCATCTCAGCCGGATCTAAAGCGCCTACACGCAACTCCGTGCCATTCTGGAGCAACACGCATGATGCATGTCGTTCGTGCCAAGGATTCCCCACTCTCCCTAGAGAACATCCGACTTGTCACTAAGCGGTGTCATGTGTGTGTGGAACTAAAACCACGTTTCTTCAATTCATCTGGTGATACACTCATTAAAGCCAGACAAACGTTTGAACGTTTCAGCATTGACTTCAAGGGACCACTGCCTTCGACGACTCGAGAAAAATAGCGACTGACGACCGTAGACGAATATTCCCGTTTTCCGTTCGCCTATGCTTGTCCAGATATCAGTTCGTCTGTGGTGATATCGTGTCTTGTGCCGGTCTTCGCCACATTTGGCCTGCCCAATTTCGTGCACTTCAATCGTGGCTCATCATTCAGTTCGGATGAGATAAGCGATTTCTTCGCGAAAAAGGCGTACCTACCAGTCGGACCACTCCATACAACCCATGGTGCCTGGCCCGGCCCAAGGACACAGGGTGCAAGGCAATGCTGTTCACTTCTAATGCGGCTGCCTTTTGAGCTGCACCAGACTCTGATTTTAAAAGCACTTTGACCGTATCGAATAATTTGCCGGTGGTCACGGCAATCCTTCTTCGGTGGAAGGCAGCATAGCTGTAAATATGGTGCTAGTCACGCGAGAGAAACAAATTGCTGTCTTCCGACTCCTATAACAGACAGCAGAACAGACCGCCTCATAATAATTACCTGCAGTACGGGCACGCTATTCTTTGACAAGCTGCTCCCCGTTGACCGTGCCGGCATGGTTGAACCCGTAGGAACTGAGTTCATCTGCATAGCCCACAGGATCATTGCAGCACAGAATCCCTACCAGAATTAGGTCGGAATCGTGGCTAGTGTGATTCCAGAAATCTAAAATGCAAACGGGAAGTCATAAAACCGCTCAGACTGCATCGCCCGGCGACCCGTACAGTGCGTCTGAGGAATCATTAATTCAATCCGCCACCTGCGCAATTTGAATGACACCTCAGCTAGTTTATTACACCCTGGTCGTTGGCTTGTTCGCTGAGCCGGGCAATTTGATTGCAAACGTTCCATCAACATTCGAGGTGACATCATTAGTGCGTTATTGGGCAGCGAAGTTGCGCGTAGCGGTGGGTTAGTGGTTGTGCACCATACACTCCGACTCTAATAGGACGTCGATGAGCACCCACCGCAAATGGAAGCCTAAGGGGATATTGCACCTTTCAGATCTGCCAATGTACGAGACTCCAACAGCTTGTATCCCGTACTTTTTATGGAAATTCGCGAAGCTGGGCAACTCCGGTATATATGTTGTGATGCTCCTTTCAAATAGGACACGGAACTTCTTTTGGGAACTGGTAACGGCGAAGATGTGAGAATTGATGAAGGTTACGTTGTGTCGCACAAGCACAAAGGTCAGATTCGTGAGTATTAGAGTCCTTGGAGTGAACTATACCATTTACGATAAATGCTCAGATGGTGTCGCGCACCCATACAACTGATAATGGTTGTTTCCCTTATTTTCAAACCGCACTGACCTCGGAAACCAAGACGTGTCAGTATTCAGCGCTCAAACATCCCACCTAAATACTTGCCTCCACGTGTCGTAACCTACCTCCTGTGGATTCTCCAAACCTGACGGTAAGCTTCTGTGTGCAACGACTATATCAAGCAAAGCGACGCCGAAATATGGCATTGCTCGATATTAAGCTCGGGATAGTAGTTTACATCTTGGATATAATGCGAGACAGAGAGGAGCCGCGTAGGCAAAAGTGCCAGGAAGAAACAATTAATCGCGTTAAATGCAATATGGTAAAAGATAATTTATTTCCTCCCGGACTCGCCGTCAAGCAATGGTGAGTAACTGGAAGCCAAAAGATTTCGCGGTTGGTTCTACATCATTGATTTTCACTTAAAGGCTGATTGACGCAAGTGGGTGTTGAACTCCGAAGCATCACTCTACTGATGAAACACGTGGTACTTCGGATAACCTTCTCTTATGTCCCGATAACGTACCGCGGCTACCGTGTGTTCACTCGGGTTTGGCCTCACGATATCCCGAACTTCATGCTAGAACCCTACAGCTCTGACCAGAAGCGAAATGGAGTCCACTTTTTAGCAAAAAAGAGCAGTCGTACACCAAGAGTATACCATAAAGATCAGCATAAAGCGACACACTATTATAAATGTACTGGTTTGAAAATCGCAGTGGTCGGCGTGTAACATGAACGTGTGAATACAATGAGAGCAAGAACTAGAAGCACAAACGACACTGCGATTGGCACTGTCATCCAAAGTTCTGCAGGGTCGAACTCCCGCCGGACGGAGTGCAAGATCTGTTGGCATCTTGGCAGCATTGTCCGATACTGTCACTCATTCTTTCACACATGGTTCTGTGCGTAGCATGAGAATCAGGCTCACAGATGTCATTTTTTGCAAGCGCAACACTGAACGGAGCGGTTCCTTTCGTTCATCCTTCTGACAAGGTGTTGCCGAATATTGTAGGCTTGGCAGCCAAGCCGTTGATCTGAAGGGGAAAACTGAAATACATCAGCGTGGTCTCGATAATTTGCGGAAATCTATGCGATAGCATCAGAAAGTTCAGTCCTCAAGATTCAGACATATGCTTGAACATCACAAACAAATGAAACAACGGCGTGAAACATTACTCACCAACAGAATCCAAGAGGGAAACTCTCTGCAGACACACACACTGTAAACCGTAGGCTGCGGGTCAGTGACATTAGTCCGGTTGATATTTCATCCGAGGAGGGAACACTGCTGCTGACTGCAGTCACCACTGCCAAGCCGTTAGCCTGAAGGGAAAATTTGAAATTCAACGACAAATTGCTAGATCCTATCAGCAAATTCACGTTTGAACACCAAAACACAGTAAAAAAAATTTCAATTTCGGGCTTTGAGTGATACATTGTCTGCATGTTTTGACCCTCACGACCGTAGAGCAAAGCACTGCCGCGTTCTACACCCTACTTTTCACTTATACCACCACGTCGTCTTGAGAGGTGCCTAAGCCGAAGGTAGAACGGTATTCGACGATCTTAGCCTCCACTTTGTCACTAATGTCACCATCCGATGTGAGGCGACTACCATTAGATGTAATTTTACCCACTGTTTCTAGTGGTTGATACCCAGCCTAATAATAATATTTTGTACTTTGAAGGTAAGGGACGGACGAAAACAGCGTGGCAACATCATCTACATCACCTGGTGTTTTGTATGTGCATAAAAAGTGAACCATGTAGCACCATATTGTCCGCATACTCAAGATGTTTTAGGTCCTTCCCGAAAAGCACAATGCCAGCGAAAGCTTTTAACATTTGGTTCGACTACCAACTGTAAGGTGACAGAGGGCAGACTCTTCATTATTAACTCACGAGAATACCACCGTGGATTTACACAGGCTCATGACTATTGCGCCTTAAGGGTTTGAGAAACGTGTTGTCCGGCACAAATGTGAAGCAGAACCGGATTGAGTCCAACACTAGCTTTCGTTAGATAACTGTTGGCCCGCTGTAGGTGTGGTAGTGTGCGCGCTGTCGCAGGGTAAGTGTGGTCAATACAATCACGACTTGGATGGGACCCTACTTGGGTAGCACATTGCTTCGCGCAAGTCTGCGTATGTCTGGGTGTGAAAATACCACTGAGCAACTTAGGATGGATGGTGAATAACCTGATAAACCGACGGTTCTCACGCAAAGATGTAACCCATTTCATGAGGACAGGAACAAAATCAGTTGACGGCCATTCCGTCGGTAGTAACCTCATTCCTCAAATGTTCAGCAGACTGTGAACCAGTCTTCTGGCTCCATACTGGAACAAAGCAGCAGAGAGCTGGGCGCTTTGTTTCACACCAGAAGTTTGACTACATTGTCTACTTCATCGGGACCAAGAAGTCCACAACCTTTTTTGATGTTGGTGCGTTGTATGTCATTTGGGAAAATTCAGACTAGCTTAACTGTTCTTTGAGGTGTCCCGCCCACTCAAGCCGGCAGCGACACTTGGAATCGACTTGACAGCCGTCCTCCTCTGCAATGACCCCACCGGCCGAGGTCGCGGGTAAGTTGAAAGGTAGTTTAACTATTCTAAATAACCGCCACCTTCCTTAATTCCCAGGTTTTCTTTAACCACTACTTCGTCTTTGGAGTGGGAGTTAGACGCCGGATAATACTGTCATCCCGGTGGGATCACATTCCGAGACTCGAAAATCGTATGGATCGTGAGGTCCTCGTTTTGGCTCACACAGTCAAACGCCGAATTCTGTGGCTGAGGATCGGATTTCGAACCAATCTTTATTACGGCGACCGCTTCGTTTCGCGTTCGTGAGCTATTTGGACAGCTGCTGCTGACGGCTGGATTTTGTATATCATACTGACGGATAATCTCTTTAGCCCCTGAGAATCGAAATACAGGATGGACACGATCTAACTCCACACATGTGCTCGGAAATACAGTCTTGAACACGCGGCCGTTCATTTAATTGCTGTGGCCAACCTCAGTGCCCGATTGGTTACGGTTTGGAGGGCGCCAGGATATGCAATGCTCACTTTTGTGCTAGCGAAATATAAAAGATGACCGGGGCGATCGCCTTTATCGGTTCTAATCTCATGCTCGTCGAATCTACCCAAATGGACATTCAAAGCACCAACCAAAATGGTGGTTTCCGTACATTTGGTCATGCGCAATGTCGTCGTTGCAGTTAGCTGCAGCGGACGCGGAGAGAATGGACTTTGGGATGGTCGGCCATACGGCCTGACCATACGGAGTCGGTTGGTCACGGGAACCCCTACAGCTGCCGCAACCAACGCTATACCCACACCCTTGAACCCATGAAGTAGACGCATCTGGGACACCTGAGTTAGCCCTGAATAAACTGAAATATCATGAACCGCATTCAGATGCATCACCGTTGTATGGCTCTGTACACGTGATTCAGGGGGAGTAACGAAGGTCTGCTGGCCTGCCTGACAGTACACAAAATGAAAGCTGCTACGATGAAACACACCAAACTACTGAATACAGGTGGGCTCGAGATAACTTAGTAGTTAGAGCGTGAAACTACTGACCCGAAGGTCCGAGGTTTGAACCCAACCGGTGCATTTCAACTGCGTCTACACTTGGGCAACCTGAGAGCATCTCAGCCCTCGTGCTTCCTTCGGGTGGTATGGCAGACAGGCACCAAAGGGTGCTATGGCTAAACGACTATTACCATACCGAATAGAAGAATCAGGCTCACCCGAACACAAAATGTGGATTTCCGAGAGCATCACCTTGCGTCAAGAAAACCTCAACATAATAGTTAGCAGTGTAGTTGTTTTTCTGCATGTTATTGACATCAATCTTTTTGGGTTGAAACACTTCCTCGGCCACAATTCATATGAAACATGATTTACCACAGTAATACCTAGTAGTAAGACTACGTTGCAAAGCCTTTGGCTTCTGTCCGCTTAAAAACGTGGGAATTATGCTGAAGCATCAAAAGTACAGTGAATCGTGCAAGCGAAAGCGATGTACCGCACGACTGACTCTGGAAACAGTTCAGTTTGCCCGAAAACGACTGTCTCTTGATAACCGGCTATGCTAAGCATAAATGTACCGGACAATTTGAAACAATAAGAACGCACAAGGTGCCCTCCTTCAAGCAGTAGATAAGAATTCTGTATTCTATTGCTGCATTTCTTTTCAACAGCCGTTTCGTCTCCTCTGCGGCATGTGTTGAACGGACAAATAAACAAGCCTGTTGTTTGGGTGTGGAAAACTCGCATGCAGATCAAACAAGGATAAATGAGTCCTACGCCTCAGTATCAGGAAAAATCAAACAATACTCTGCGAAACATTCGCACCTCCGGTGATGCGCAGACCGGCACCGTTGAATATTCTGGAGGGAGGGGTCGTCATGTTGAGTGACCGAGCAGTGTGTCTACTTGATTGGATACTCGTTGATAGCGCCTCTGCGTGGTTCGCTCGGCAGTGAGGCCCATTATGCCGCTCATTGTGTCTGCTTATACCCCAATGGACCGTAGCTCTGATTTGCCAGACGTTTTCCATGGCTCCCTTGGTGCTCTTTTACAACGAACTATAACCCCAGACATTGTTGTGGCTTTTGATGACAAGAAACCCTAGATAGGTAAACTAAGCACTGTTAAGGACCGATTGGGCGGTCGTCATGGAATGGGTACGAGACCATGTGTACTTTGGTTGTCGGCCGATCAAACTTTGTTTGCAGTACCAAATTCCGGAACAGCGGAAATCGCTTGACAACGTGATGCCCAGCAACGAACCAGTCCAGAATCCAAATAGACTATATTTGACATCAGTTGTCAGTGCCGACGATCACCCACTGCTTGCCGCTCCTTTTGGAAAACCAGCGCACTTGTAAACTACTGCTTATCACTGCGCTTTTCGGGTTTACGCAAAACGCGCACACCCCGCTTAGCCAGTCATCATCATCATCATTGTCAGTTGTGATAACCGCGTACACGCTGTACAGTGGTTGCAGCTGCTGCAGTTTCGTTCACCGATGATTTGGCGGGGGGTGGTAAGTAGCTGCGCATTGCAGGCGCGAGCTGGTAAATTGGTGCATAAATCCAGCATTGTCAGTGGGCTATCAAGTGGGGGGTTGGAAAAGGAGCTATCCATTGAAGGCAATAGCTTTGATGCACGAGCGCCATTGAGAGCGCGACTGGGCCATGTCTGACAATGTCTCTAGCCATTGATGTGGCCCGTCTGGGGTTCCCCATCCAGGAAGACGGCAATTACCAGCGCAGCTGAATTTGCTGGTAATGGCTTTCACACTTCATTGCCAAGTCATTGTTTGACCGCCTCTGGCTCTCTTCCACCCTTCACGTGGTTGTGCGAAAAGAGCCCTTCGAGGAAGTCGGTCGACTGGCATACGCA